AAAAAAAAGATATTTACAAAGATGTAATAGTTTGTTAAAATGCTTGAAATCAAATAGCACAGTATAGGAAGAAATGCATAGGAAAAATGTGCTGCATAGAAACAGAAGAAGAAGGAAACAGTGATAGTGGCTCTCTAGATGATGGGCATCTGGGTGACTGTTTTTACTCTTCTGTACTGAAATTTTTTCTAATAAGTTTATATTACTCTTATGATATTAAAAGTCTAAAATAACCAGTTAGGACTCTGTTCCCAGCACACTTGGCCGGGTTAGTACGTGGCCACTAAGTCTCAGACACCCGCCCGGGGACCGGCCAGCCAGTGTCTGTCGCAGATAGGATTACCTCGCTCATCAGTCTGTCGCGTGCGCTCCTCTCTCGGGCCCACTCTGCCTCTCTCTTCTCCCACATTTCCTTGGCTTCCTCCCTAGGGAAATACAAAGTGATGACAGCAGGCTCCTCACCACCATGGCAGAAGGGAACTAAAGCACCAACAGGGTCCCACATCTGTGGGGCCAACCTTCCGATAAACTTACCCACCATGCAAACTTTTAACAGAGTAAGGACAAGTTCACAGAAAGTATTTCTATTGTAAGTACCTTAAGTTACCTTTTTTTAATATTCTATCTCCTTACAAAAAGCACTTGTGATGAGTTGCACTTGTGATGAGTTGCACCCAGGCCATTTAAACATTGAAGTGAATGAAACCATGAGGACTCTGGGGAGGAGGAGGGCCATTGCCTGTGCCTGAGCTCTGTCACCATGCTTCTGGGGTCCCTGCTACCCGCCCTGTGGCCTGGGGCAAATAAGTGACCTTCTCAAGACATCATGACCACAAGTATCTACCACTTGGCTGGAGTGTCTGGCATATACTAAGTGCTCAATAAATGTTACTTGCTGTTTACTTCCATCTACAAGGTTAATTTTTGGATGCAGACCCATGTATATAGGCCTAAGAAACATTCAACATCTCTGTAATTTATAACAATTTCCTTTCAAATTTCCAAGATTTTAGATGAGCAGATCCTTACTCTAAATCCTAATTTCCATCTTAAATAACGGAAGGGAAACACTCCCACAAGCCAGGTCCACTAGCAAAGATGTGTTCCTCCTGAATGATGGACACATTACCAAGAACGGGTGTGTCAATCACCACCCCCATGGAGACCCGCGGGATCCCAGGTACCAGAGGAGAACCCAGGAGTGTCCGATCTCTCACCTCAACAGCACCTGCAGCTCTGCCTCCCGCTCCCTTTCCAGCTGCAGCTGCTCCTCGATGACCTGCTTCATCCACGCCACGTCAGCCAGGGCCTGCTCCCGCCGTGCCAAGTGCACGCGCTGGTTCTCCTCCTCCTCCTCGAGGAGCATCTGCAGGATGCGCNCCACCACACACACACACACACACACACACACACACACACACACACGCACTCACACACTCCAAAGGAAGCCTGGGGGGAACCACCTAAAGTTTTTCCTCCATTTAGAACAGGAGTCAGGACTAGGGACAGGGGCTGCTTTGTAGGATGATGTCAGACACAGGGTGATTGGCATGGGCTATAAAAGAAGAAAATCCCTCCCCCATATGTCACGTCCAGGAAGGCTTTAGGTGCGCGGAGAAGGCGGTCCCTAAGCCAGTTTCAGACCCTCCTTTTCTCCACTCCCTCAGCCCAGCCCAGAGTCTGGATGGAAAATGGGAAATAGAAGACCGTACCATGCCCTTTGCCTTTTGGCTCATGGGTAAAAGATGCAACCTGAGCCTCTGCTTTCTTCTCTTCCATGTGGACCTGCCCTGTACCCTGACCTGTGAGGTCACTTGATGGCCTTGCAGGCAGATACCAGTGCCCAGGGCAGAATCGAGCTGAAATCTGCAAACTGACCCTTAACACTGACTTGGACTGAGGAGATTTGGCCCCCAGGGCGGTGATCAGGGCTTGTTGTGGGCAGTAGTTCCTGCAGCACCGTGAGCTCTGGGATGGTTGTGGTTACCTAGAGTCGTAGTCTAGCTCTTCTCTACCTCTTGAGCCTCAGCTTCCCCATCTGTGAAATGGGGACGCTGATCTCCAGGGCTCGCTGCAAGGAGTAAATGAAGTGGTGTGTATAAAGGTCTGAGGCCTTAGTGCCAAATAGATCTTAGCTGCGGCCGGTGGGGAGGGGGTGTTGTCTTATTATATAAGTTCCTGGATCCAATTTTCGCTCCTTCATGTAGTAGATGATTAATCAATGTTTGAGCAAGTGCCATTGACTGGTCTGTGTGATTCTCAGAACTGGATAAGCAACCTGAGAGCAGGGTCTTGGTCGTTTCTGTCTACTGCAGCATTGCCAGTACCAGAACAGTGCCTGGCACCTACCCTGTTTCCCCGAAAATAAGACCTAGCCGGAAAATAAGCCCTCGCATGATTTTAGGTGCCAAAATATGGCACCTTGGCATACTGAATATTTTAAGCTGAAGGAGTTTGTGGGAAAGGCACCCTTCTCCCTGAAACAGGTCATAAAATCCTCATGTGAGAGGTGTGTGCCCTCCATATCCTGGAGGAATCATCCTATGGCTTCTTCGGCTAGGTCTTATTTTCAGGAAAACCTGGTAGTAGGTACTCAGTCGGTACTTGTTAAATATACACAACACTCCTATTATCGGTATCACAGTGCTGCAATAATACTGAATCTCCAGGCAGGGGTTAGGAGCTAACTGGCTTTAGCATGAAGGAGTTGTTCATTTTTGTGACAGTTTCCCCCTCGCCCCGCCCCCCTTGAGTCTATGAACATTTGCAGGACAGCCAGCAAGTCCTGGAAAAGGATTCAGAATGTTTAAACTAGTGGTTCTCAATTTGAGGGCAGGGGTGTGGGTTTGGGGAGATGCTATTGGCACCTAGTGGGTGGAGGCCAGGGATGCTGCGAAACATCCACCAGTCTCCAGGCCAGCCCTTACCACGGAGACTTGATCCAGCCCCAAATGCGAGCAGGGCCGAGGTGGAGAAACCTTGAGCTAAGCTCTGTGGCCCTTTCCTCCCTCATCTTCAGCAAGGTTGTCCATCAGCCCTGCATTTGGGGACACCTTCATTTGATGCAATTATCTGGCTGGTTTTAGAGGAAAGGGGATGGTGGCAGCTGAAGCCAGCAGTGACCTGGTGCCAGGGATGAAGAGCATCCCTTCCTCCCTTTTCCTGATCTCAAAGGACCCTTGTCTTTGCTGCGAGCCACATGATGTGGGGGTGCCACATCTGTTGACAGAAGCGCCATTTTTACAGAAACCTCGGTGGGTTGGCCCACAGAGGATGCTTGTTAGCACTCTAAAAAAAAGTGATAAACTATTGTGCTCTTGTGGGGGGAGAGTTTCAGTTTTAAGAGGATGCTCCCACCAGTGGCTTTTCTCTGGGACTCAGGAGTCGAGTGAGATCCGCTGTCAGCTCTAACACAGGGGCCTTTGTCTAGATCCTGGGAGTGTCTATTCACCTGGAGGACCTGGGTGGTGTGTGTGTGTGTCTCTTGAATGGAGGAGGTCTGGAATAATGGATACAAGAAACCTGAAAGGCATTGCAGTGGCAGTTCCCTCCCAATCAGAGTTTTCTACACTGTGGCACTGCTGACATTTGGGATTGGGTCATTCTTAGGGTGGGGGCTGTCCTGTGCATTGTAAGATGTTTAGCAGCATCCCTGGTCTCTGTCTACTAGATGCCAATAGCATCTCTTCTCCCCAAGTTGTGACAATCAAAGATGTCTGTAAGGAGACAAATCGCCCTGGTTGACAACCACTGCTCTCGATATAAATATGACCAAGGACTGAAAGCTGTGTTTTTGAAAGTATTTAATTTTGCAAGGAAGATCTGTTTCCTGAAGGAGAATTGAGCAAGAAGAAGTGATAAATAAAAATCTCCTTGTCATTTATTGAGCACATACTATGTGCTAAGCATTTTATGTGGATTATTCACTTCATCCTCTCACAATTTTTTGAGGTAGTGTTTTGGAAAGAGAAACTTTCTGCTTACATTTCAGAGTATTTTGTTTCCAGACTCATTTTTATCAATCTTTAAGGGAGAATGTATAAACTGCTTTTTACACCTAACAGTATAGCATGACCATCTTTCCATGTCAATCATCATTTTTCATAGTTGCCTTAAAATCCCATTCTTTGAATGGGGCTATAATTTATTTAAACCCGTCCCCTGCTGTTGGACGTGCACATTGCTTCTCATTTTTTTTGCTCTAGTAAACAACGCTGCAATGAACATCCTTGTATACATTTCTTTGCATACTTCTTTGCTTATTTCTAATTTTTAGAAGGGAAATTGCTAGGCTGAAGGGTGTGAAGGCTTTTATCCCATTAGAGCAGCCACATTTCTCAAACCTTGTCATGTGTTGCGTATGACAGAGTTGGTTGGGCTGGATGGATGCTGGTGTTTTGGGCGCAGGTCAGATGTGGCTTAGAGCACCCACATCTTGGGCGAGCCCTTCCTCCATATCTCCGGCCTGAGTCGCTCGAGTTGTGCAGGTTTTACGATGTCCACTTAGCGGCCAGTCTTTTGTCCATCTTCTTTGACCCAGTAATTGGATCTCACATCTGACTGATCAGCTTGCATCTGACTTCTGTGAGGCCTGCTGTCTTGTCTTTTAGGTCAATTATCCAGCTGTTCTAGAGCATTCCAACTGGAGGGCAGAGGGAGAAAGGGAGGGAGGGACTTAAATGTCATTTAGCCTTGTCTCTCCCTGCCTAGAAGCCTTAGTGGCCCCTGGAGCCCATGTCAGTCTTTCTGCCTGGTGCACCACTCCTCCAGCGCACCGCCTTCCTTTTGCCTGGCTGGGGTCCCAGTGTCCTTAAGGAATCCGCTTAGCAGTCACCTCATCCAGAAAGCCTTCCCTAACTCCTATAGAGCCTATCACATTCTGAGACTTTTGAGTTATTTCAGTGCCCCGTTTGCCAAGTGAATGCTTTCCGTTCCATTCCCATTCTTTTTTCTGGGTTCTTTCTACAAGTGTTTTGCTTTTCTCTTTTTCTAAATTAAAATATGTGACCAAGTTACAATATATAATTCATATCCCGCACCCATGGCAGACATTATTAATCAATCATGATATTGTTTTCCCCTTCGCGTGTAAGCACAGCCTTGATGTCTTTCTTAACCCAACCACTTCAGGTCAATTAGAGTCGATGCGTGAGATGACACCTGTTTGCTCTCAGTGTTTAGGGAGAAACCAAAGAAGCAGGAGTTGAAGGTCGTGTTTCCACCTCTCATTCTTGAGATCCGAATTCCAGAGGGTGATTTTTTTTTTTAGCTTAATTAAATGGATGATCATTGAATTGGGCCTCTCAGGTATCTGGCGCTCCTTAATTAGTCCTAGAGTAACTCCAAAAGGAGTGGTTTTCTATCACTTTGGTTCAGTGCTTGCTCTATTGGAGGGAGGGGGGGCAGGGAGAGGGTGGAGGCAATGGCGGCCCAGAATTATCTTCTTGGTATACAGCCAGAGAAACCAAAGCCAGAGAGGTTAGGTGACTCGCCCAGGCTCACACAGCCAGCAATTGACCATACTGCCAAAGGAGAACTCAGGCCTCTGGACTTCTTATGCAGGGCTTTTGCCTTTGTGCCTGCCTGCTGTCCTGGCTTCCTGTCCAGCAGAGAAGAAGCCCCCACTGGAGCCAACCTGCTTGGCCACTGAAGAGATACAGTGGTCCTGCTGGCACCGTGACTTGATATGCAGGTTTCCTCTGAGGCGGGTGCCTCCTATTTGGCCTGCCAAGCTGGGCCCTTAACTCCTGCGTGTTTGAATGCAAATTTGAGTCAAGAGGGTGTGGAAGCCATCTGTGGGAAGGCCCCAGACAAGTCAGTATTCCTTTAATTGGGACATCATTAACGGCCTGGCCTGGGAATGAGCCCCAGCAGCACCTCTCCGTGGTCTGTGAGTAAGAAGTTCCCCTTCTTCAACGGAAGTTGCCCACTGCCCCTGCCCCCGCCCCTTGCAACAAGCACCTCCCAGGTCGTGGAACCAACAGTTACATCTGGGCAGTGTTTTTGTTTTGAAGTTTCTGCAAATACATGTTTATTTTTTATTGTGTTTAGAATATCCTAAGAAAGATAAACAAGAAACTGTTAACCCTCTTCCTGTAGCAGGTCCGTTGTCATTTTGGTTGAGTGTCTGTTGAGAGCTGGAGTCTGTAGCAACGCGATATGTGTGCCTGGGAGGGACACAACTAGGAGGAAGAAACAATGTCCTGTGGGGGAAGAAGCCACTTTCTGCAATGGATTTTGCAGTTTTTTTGTTTGTTTGTTTGTTTGAGCTGAGCCATCCTGCCACCTGTTGGCAGCTCAACTCGGGCTGGGAATCGAACTGGCGACCCTGTTGCTCAGAGCTCGCACTCTTGAGTGAGCTCTTAACCAACTG